ATCTGCAAAGCAAAGAACGAATCAAGAGAGTAAATACAATTGACTGATTCAACAAAGATACAAGAGAAAATACAGGTAATAAAAGATTTCAAGAAAGAGACTCTGGGGGAAAGAAACAAATTATTAAAATAAAGGAAACAATAAACCAAATAAAAAATTCAATAGAAAGCATCAACAACAGACTAGATCACTTGGAAGACAGAACCTCAGGCAATGAAGACAAAATATATAATCTTGAAAATAAAGTTGACCACACAGTGAAGACAGTGAGAGACCATGAACAGAACCTTCAAGAATTAGGGGACAACATGTAAAAACCAAATCTAAGAATTATCAGGATAGRGGAAGGCAGAGATACAAATCAAAGGAATGCACAATCTCCTCAGTGAAATAATATCAGAAAATTTCCCAAACAAAGAATGAATTGGAAAATCAAATACAAGAGGCTTACAGGACACAAATGTACAAAATTACAACAGATCTTCACCAAGGCACATTATAATGAAAATGCCTAGCATACAGAATAAGGATAGAGGAATCAGGTCACATAGGAGGAGACCAATTTGTATCTCAGATTTTTCAACTAAGACCTTCAAAGTCAGGAGATCATAAAACATATACCAAGCTCTGAGAGAAAATGGATGCCTAATCAAGAATCTTATATCCAGTAAAATTAAGCTTCAGATTTGATGACAAAATAAAACATTCCATGGAAAAACAAAACTTTAGAGAATTTACAATGAGAAAGCCTGCACTACAAAATATTCTCAGCAAAATATTTCATGAGGAGGAAATGAAAATCAGCAAAGGGAGGAACTACACTAAAGAAAAATCCAATCAAAGTAGAAACCAAGTCAAGTTACAAAACAAAAATAAAGCAAAATGACCAGGAATACAAACCATGTCTCAATAATAACCCTGAATGTAAATATCTTAAACTCATCAATTAAAAGACAGACTGGCAGATTGGATTTTTAAAAAAGACCCAACAATATGTTGCCTTCAAGAGACTCATCTCATAGGAAAAGACATCCACAGAGTGAAAGGATGGGGGGAAAAACATATCACTCACATGGGTCACATAAACAGGGGTTTCCATCCTAATATTAGTTAAAATGGAATTCAAACCAAAGTTAGTCAGAAGAGATAAAGGAGGACATTTCATACTGCTTAAGGGAACCATACATCAAAAAGACGTAACAATCATAAATATCTATGCCCCAAACAATGGAGCATCTATGTATATCAAACATACCCTTCTCAATTTCAAGAAGCAAATTGATCACAACACAATAATTTGGGGTCACTTTAACACACATCTCTCACAACAGGGTAGATCTTCCAAACAAAAACTAAAACTATAGAATTCAATAATACAATCAATGATTTAGACTTGACATATAAAGAGTATTTCATCCGTCATCAAGCAAATACACCACCTTCTCAGCAGCACATGTATCCTTCTCTAAAACAGACCATATAATATGCCACAAAGCAACTTTCAGCAAATACAAAAAAAAAAAAAAATAGAGATACCACCCTGTATTCCTGTATTCTATCAGACCATAATGGAATAAAACTAAAAATCAATGATAGAATAAAAAAATAGAAGCTCCTTCAACACCTGGAGACTAAATAATATGATATTGAAGCAATAGGCAGCAGAAGACATCAGGAAGTAGACAAAAAAAATTCTTAGAGGTAAATGAGAACACCGATACAACATATCAAAATTTCTGGGACACCATGAAGGCAATACTAATAGGAAAGTTCTTTGCATTGAGCCTATTCATTAAAAGAATAAAAAGTCAACAAATAAATGACCTAACATTACATCTCAAATCCCTAGAAAAAAGAATAAATCAACACCAATAGTAGTAGAAGACAGGAAATAATTAAAATCAGAGCAGAAATCAATGAAATTGAAACAATTCAAAAAATTGACAAAAAAGTTGGTTCTTTGAAAAAATAAAATTGGTAAACCCTTAACCATGCTAACGAAGAGAAAACTCAAATAAAATTTGTGATGAAAAAGGAAAAATCATGACAGACACTATAGAATTACGGAAGATAATTAGAAACTATTTTGAAAATTTATACTCCAATAAAATCGAAAATCTCAATGACACTGACAAATTTCTAGAAACATATCAGGAGGATATATACAATTTAAACAGATCAATTTCAAGCAAGGAAACAGAAGACTCCATCAAAAACCTACCAACCAAGAAAAGACCAAGACCAAATGGATTCTCAGCCAAGTTCTACAAGACCTTCAAAAAAGAATATCAATATTCCTCAAATTATTCATTGAAATAGAAAAGAAGGGTACCATTCCAAACTCATTCTATGAGGCTATCATCACCCTGATACCAAAACCAGACAGATCAAGGAAAGAAAACTTTAGACCAATATCCCTAATAAACAGATGCAAAAATTCAATAAAATCCTGGCCAATCTCATACAAAAACATTAAAAAGACAATGCACCATGATCAAATGGGGTTCATCCCAGAACTGCAAGGTTGTTTCAACATATGGAAATGAATAAATGTAATACATCACATCAATAGACTTATTATAGATGCTGAAAAAGCATTTGATAAAATACAGTACCTCTTCATGTTCAAAAACCAAAAAAACTAAGAACAGAATAGGGGGGAAGAGCATGAGAAGATGATCACCATTAAACAGGGACGAGAGGGGGGAGGGAAAGAGAGAARGGAAATTGCATGGAAATGGAAGGAGACCCTCATTGTTATACAAAATTACATATAAGAGGAAGTGAGGGGAAAGGGAAAAAACAAGAGAGAAATGAATTACAGTAGATGGGGTAGAGAGAGAAGATGGGAGGGGAGGGGAAGGGAGGGRAGGGGGGATAGTAGAGGATAGGAAGGGCAGCAGAATACAACAGACACTAGTATGGCAGTATGTAAAAAAGTGGATGTGTAACCGATGTGAATCTGCAATATGTATACGGGGTAAAAATGGGAGTTAATAATCTGCTTGAATCAAATGTATGAAATATGATATGTCAAGAGCTTTGTAATGTTTTGAACAACTAATAATTTAAAAAAACAAAAAACTAGGAATAGTAGGATCATACCTCAACATTGTAAAAGCTATCTATGTTACGCCCAAGGACAACATCATTCTAAATGTAGAAAAATTGGAAGCATTTCCTCTAAACACTGGAAGAAGACAGGGATGCCCTCTTTCACCACTTCTGTTTAATATAGTCCTTGAAATTCTAGCCAGAGCAATCAGACAAAAGAAATTAAAGGGATATGCATAGGAAAAGAACTCAAACTATCACTATTTGCCGAGGAGGTGATTCTATATTTAGAAGATCCAAGAAATTCCACCAGAAAACTTCTAGAATAAATGAATCAGCAAAATAGCAGGATATAAATCAATGCCCATAAATCATTTCTATACATAAGTGATGAATCCTCTGAAAGAGAAATTAGGAAAACTTCCCCATTCAAAATAGCTTCAAAAAAAAAAAAAAAACCTTGGGAATCAATCTAACAAGAGATGAAAAACTTCTACAATAAAAACTACAGAACACTAAAAAAGGAAATTGAAAAAGACCTTAGAAGATGGAAAGAGCTCCCATGCTCTTGGATAGGTACCACCATTTCACCCATCGATCCCACTCCTCAGTCTATACCCAGAGGACTTAAAATCAGCATACTATAGTGACATAGTCACACCAATGTTTATAGCAGCTGAATTTACAATAGCTACACTGTGGAACCAACCTAGATGCCCATCAATAGATGAATGGATAAAGAAACCGTGGTATATATACACAATGGAATATTATTCAGCATTAAGAGAATAAAATTTTGGTATTTGCAGGTAAATGGATGGAGTTAGGGAATGTCATGCTAAGAGAAATAAGCCTATCCCAAAAAACTAAAGGCCAAATGTTCTGATTAGTGGGTGCTGATCTATGATTTGGGGGGGGCATGGGAAAAATGGAGGAACTTTGGGAAAAGGGGAGGGTGAAGAAGGGTTATGGGGGGGGGTAGGAAAGATGGTAGAACGAGATGGACATCATTACCCTAGGTACATGGATGATTGTAGAATGTCGAAGAATGTGCATCTCTACACCGTGTACAACCAGAGAATTGAAATGTTGCACTCTGTACGATGAGCTGAAATGCATTCTGCCGCGTCATGTACAACCAAGTAGAACAAATAAAAATAAAAAAGACCAACAATGATGTTAGTGGAGTTTTATTGAAGAGAGTAAATAAAGCTAATATCATTGAAGTCATCAGGCAGGAAGTGCCTTAAATAATGAAGGACTTAATCCTCCCATGAGTCCAAAGACCCCCTCCACCAAAGATCAGTCTCAAGTGACATTCTCCACCCCTAGCAACATCCAGGCTCTGATCCGACTCTCACCAGGTAGTTGTGAAGGCCTTGGTGCCCTGAATCCATGCATAGCCTGTGACAGGACACTCCCTCGGACATAGCCTTCACTCACTAAAGAAGCCAGGCAAGCTAGGTGTGGAGGAAGGCCTAGGCCAGCTGTGGACCAGCTCCAGGCCTGTGGTACAGAGCAGTACAATGGCAGAAGAGCCCAGAAGGATCTGAAACAGCCCCCTTTAACCAATACTGTTTTAGCTCCAACCCAAGAACACACCCACCTATTTTGGTTCCTCTTTTCCCACTTAAGTGGCCTCCATGAAGCATGGCTCACTGACGTAATCCAGGACAGAGCAATATTCAGATGTCTGGACAACTAATGGCCCAGCCCTAGGAATGTCTGAGAATAGCAGTACAAGGTTTCTGCCCATGTCAAAGAAAAGTGGCCAAGGCAGGGTGACTCCCATAAATGCCATCCTTCTTCCTGGGCTTTGAAAAATAAAGAAGTCGAATCCCCTCACCCTCTGAAGAACTTTAGTTACTTCCAGTGTCAAACCCAGTCCCTCACTAGAGTCCTGGGATTTGAGTGGGTATGGGACCCACAAGAGCCTCCAGGGTATCTCAGGAGCAGCCACACTTTTCTATCAGGGATGTGTTCAGGAAGTGCACGCTCATCTTGTATTCATCATCCTGGACCATCAAGGAGAAAAGCCTCATCTTGATGGGACCACAGACTTGGAAGAGCCAGGAACAGGTAGGTGCCTCCATCTGTGGAGGCAAAAAAAAAAAAAAAAAAAAAAAAAAAAAAAAAAAAAAAAAAAAAAAAAAAAAAAAAAAACAGGCAATGAGCATTATTAGAGCCAGAGCCTCATCCTTAGGAACATGAGTAGATTTGACAGGGGTAAATGGGAAAGGAGAAGGAGGGCATGGGAAGTCTCTAGATTAGGGCTACTTAAAAACAGTTGTTAGGAAATTGATGTTGTTTCTTATGGACAATGAGGATAGGGCATGAGGTCACCATGGGAGAAGATATGACAAAATTACATGAGTACTGGATTACGTTAGAGCCACTTTCATTGACGTCTTTGACACAAAAGGAGACAGGCCTAGAGAGTTGAGCATTTGTCCTTTCCCAAAATATCCCCAGAAGAGAACAAAGTTTCACATTTTACCTTGTAGCACTCAGAGCTGGAGTGATGGGGCTCACTGGTCAGAGCCAGGCAGGTCCCCTGACAGCGAGGGAAGCTGAAAGTCTTGGGTGCAACAATGCACYCACCCCAGAGAGCTCTGTGAAGGTTCACTTTGTGATCCTGCAGGTGACAGAGCTTTTCTGCTGGGAACTGAGCCTGGCCATGGTCTACCTGCCTGTGATTCTGGCCCAGAATCAGCTGTTCCACATTAGGGATAAAGGGCTCCTGGATATGAGGCAGGTGAAACAGAGGTGGTTGTGTATGGAACAAGGACATGAACAGCAACACCACATCTCGCTTTTCTTGGGTTCTGGAACACTCATTCAGGCTGGCGTCTGCAATATCCGTGGATGAGGCCTTTCCCTCTGCCATGAGAGCAGGCACCACCTCCATCCAATACGTTAGTAAACAGKAGATCTCCAATAACGATCCTCTCTCTGACTGATAGGATGGTAAGATAATRGGGAAAGAGCCCAGAAGGACTCTTTGAGGACTCCTTTGATGGTCCTTGAACTCTAGAATAAGGTCAGTGCCATGGGGAGCAATTGGCACCCAGGCCCATAGCTGTATTGAGGAAATCCCCAAGAAGTGAGCTGCCTCAAAATGGAGAAGCCAGTAACTGTGCAGGAACTGGATGCCTGTGGGGAAAGAAAAGGGGAAGCTTCAGGAGGCTGCTACCACAGATTCCCACAGAGAAAGCTTACTAAAASCCTCCCTACCCATTTCTTGCTCCCTATCTACCAACCTTGCAGGACAGGGCAGTTACTTAGCAGATTCAGCTGTGTCCACCCATCTATAAAGCCAGCTCTTGATTCCACAGCAACTAGGAGTGAGTTTCCTCTACACGCATCACCCCACCACTGGAATTAAGTCTGAGAATGACAGCCCTAGGGCTGACGACCATCCCAGTCACTATGACCCAAGACAAGCCAYCTGCCCTCTTGTGCTTCCTAGTCCACTGTAGTTGCCCTGGTTACCAGTTGTGCATTCCATGCTTTAGAACATCCTTCTACTTAGAWCGTTAAGCTCAAGGACAGACCTACCTATGAAAACTGCCAAGATGAKACTGAAACAGATTCCTCCCCTGCTAGACCAGTTGAGTATTCCTGCCCCTTGCTCTACCCCCAGGAGGCCCAAATGTCTGATAATTTACACTCAGATTCCTATTTGCCCTACAAAATGCTGGCAGGCAGYTCCTGAAACAATCTCTTGCCATTAGAGGACAAAGCTTCTTATACTTACTTTTAGATGTAAGAGTAAAGCCACGTTGCCTGGCAGAAAAAAACTCTTTCACATGGGAAGGCAGAATCCTGTGACAATCCAACGATTCCACCCAGCTAAAATGCATGCACCAAAGACCCAGAGTCAAAAGCCCAGTAACAAGCCACAAGCTACCCCTCCTGCTGCTACCACCYTCCATGGCGCCACCCTCAGATGCTGGTCTGCCCGCTTCATTGTCTTTAAATAACCAACTGCCCACATGTGGGTCCTATACTAATCCCTGCAGCCTAGGACTGATTATGCACCCATTTAACTCAGGTGAGAAAATCTGACACTCCTGAAACAACTTCATTACCTACTGGGCTTACAGTGTGAAGGTGCAAGCAGTGATAATGTAGAGGGTTTCTCTAATTAAACTTGTAAGCACAAAGACATAATTAGTAGACAGATACATTTATGTAGAAGATGTGCACTAACAGAATATGTCAGTCCAAATGCTGGCCACAAAAACAGGTATGGACATTTAAAAGTTACAAACACTCTAACCCAATTTTGTATCCTCCAGAGTAGCAATCTTAGACAACATTAGAATCACCCAGCGTGTTCGTTAAAACAGAGATTGCTGGGCCCTGTTGCCAGAACTTCTGATGAGTCAGGGGGGTSTGAGAATTCACCTATCTAGCAGGTTCCCAGATGCTGCTGCCATTGATGCTGGTTCTGAGATCACACTTTGAGAACCACTGGTCCCATTATTTATATYATGACCAGGATATAGAAAATGCTCAGTAAGTATCTGTGGTTTCATTAATAAGAAATGAGCTGTTCCTGGTGTGCTTTGCAGCTCTAGAATTTTTTTTTTAAATCATTCACATTAAAATAATGAAAGTCTGGAAATATCAACACAAGTACTCATAAGGAAAGTAGTATTCCGAATTCATGCTCCCAGCATTCTTTGGGTTTCATTTAAGGAGAGTAAATACACAAATCTTCAAAAAATTAAAAATGACAAAGACATGAGAATTCACATTTCACAACACTTACAAGTTATTATGAGTATATTACTTATATGTGCACAATGAAGGTATAATATTTCAATTAAACAGATGCTATAAGGCATACTTCATTAACAAATTAGACTGTATTTAACAGTATTTGCTATTTATTTATTTATTTATTTATTTATTTATTTATTTTGGTACTGGGGATTGAATCCAGGAGCACTTAACCATTGATCCATATCCACAGCCTGCTTTTTTTCCAGATTTTATTTTGAGATAGGGTCTTGCTAAGTTGCTTAAAGTGTCACCAAGTTGCTGAGGCTGGCTTTGAACTTGCAATCCTCCTGCCTCAGCCTCCTGAGTCTCTGGTATTACAGGGTGAACCACCACACCCAGCAATATTTGCTTTTCTTAAAAGACCAAATCACATTGTCACACACACAATCAAAAGAAGAGATATTTGAGGTTCATTTATTTTCAATTAAAAATTCAGTGCATGTGTCCCAAATTATGTAAATAAGTTTATCACAAGTAATAATAATCAGTACATTCCATCTTCAGAAATGCTTCATCAACATGAGCTAATAAACTTACACAGCAAACTTATGAGGTAGGCATAATTATGCTTCTTTTGTGGTTGGAGAAACTGAGGAAGAAGTTAATGAGTTCCAGACAGAACTCAGTCAGTTCCCAATGCGGAGTAGACTGTTGAGAAAATATCCTTGGATTTTTGTCTCTTAAAATCAGAAGATGCCAAACCAAACCAAAGGTGAAAATAACTCAATTAAGAGAAATTATCTTTGGTAAAAGAAAGGGTACTTTTTAAAGCTAAGGACAGAATTTTGAAAGTTAATAATTTGTAGGCACCCAGGGTCCCTGCTAATTACCACCAACTCCTCTGTATTATTTTTCTCGTGATTGAGAAGTCGATGATGACTCTCTCTTTTGAGCTTATATTCTTTTCTTTTTGATGAGCAGGTTCTTATGGAACCCCAATTAAATATGTAGTCAGCTTATGCAATTTCTAGCAAACATGCCTTTCCTCGTTGTTTACATAAATTAATCTTCATATTCTCAGCAAAGGGAAAGGAAGCAGCTTCCATCTGATCCCCCAGCATTCTCTAAATTGCTTCAAAAGCTGTATCAAGTATGAATGTGTTAAGTAAAATCCTTCACCAGTTTGTAAATTGCTTTAAATAAAACCCTTCAATAATAATCTGGCATGAGGAGCTTGTTTTACTAATTTATAGCTAAGCAGCTGTTGTTCTGTTACCATCTTCAGCTTCTTTTACACACAAAAAAAATCTTAAAATGAACCATTCAGACAGGAAAGTCCAGATTGCTTTCAATAGTAAATATTTCTATATACTTTTCTCAAAGGGCTTTGCAAGTTTCAGAAAAGTAAACACACACACACACACACACACACACACACACACACACACACACACACCATTTTGGAAAAAGATTACTGGGGAAAATGTTGGCTAATGATATGGTCAACTTATATAATTTATATTCTAATGGATTTTACATCTCATGTGTCACTGCCGTTCTATAGGTGAGTGTGTGTGATGAGAAAATACTAGTAAAATAGCCAATTCCGTGAAGCCTATCACATTCCTCAAGAGGAAAGGTAGGAGTGACTTCTTGATTAATTGACTCCAGAATGCCTGTATTCGTACCATTCAATTCTGTCCATTGGATGTGGTAAGAATCAGAAGCAGATGAAAATATATCATTACTAATGTGTTCAGTATCTTCCTGACACTTGGGATAATATATGTAAGGGTGATTTACAAAGGAAAATTATAAATTGGAGTCCTTTCTGTGGACAGGGGTGTGATGTCCTTCTGTAATATAGCATCTTTAAGCTTTTTTTTTTTTTTTGAGTGCCTTGCCAATAAAAAACTTAGCTGCTCATTCACTAACAAACTATGCATGTATACTTCTCTAATATATTAGATACATTATAAGACATACAAAAATAGAAATTGAAAAATAATTTAAAAAATAGTTTCTTGTATTTCTAGTATKTCCTTCCAGTTTCTAATGGATTATCTTTGAAGACCATTGTTCTACTGTAATATTAAGTTCATTATGAAAATAAAGGGTGATAATTATAATTAACATTTACATAGCATATATAAACACTGCTAAGTATTACTAATTCCAGTGCTTTCACATATATTAAGTTGTTTAGTCTTGGTATCAGCCTTATGCAAGAGGTCTAATTATTATCTCCATTTCACAGATGATGAAATCGAGGCACAGACTGGTCACTTAATTTATTCATGGCCACACAATTACCAAGCAGTGAGGAAAGGATTTAAGCCCAGGTAGCCTGGGGCTAGACTCCAGCTAATCTGAAACTTGAAGGCCTGGCAATTATTACACCAACTGGTAACATAGAGAGAAAGGCCTCATACACATCAGCTTCCATAACACAGCATGATGGCCTGTGTCTTACCATCTTATAATTATTGCTTTGAATATTTATCTCCCCTACTAATCTAAAAAGTCCTTGAGTACAAGGACTGGAGTATTTTTTTATTTACATTGTAGCATTGAGTATACTGCCTGTTGCCTAAATTGTTATTTAGGCATTTGTATTGTAATTGTTATTATAGGCATTTGTTGAATGGATGGCTGGATGAAAGAAAAAGAGATTTCTTTTTTAAAGATGGATGGATTTATCCAAATTACTAGATATCCACTGAAATTTAAATGTACTTGATATAGGGATGGAAAGATTTTCCACCAATAAAAATATTCACAGACTTTCCTCTTTCTTCAGGTAAGAATACCATCCTATTTGTAAACCTTCTATTACCTAACCTTAGAAAAACCAAGAAAGGTGAAAGWCGATAAAAATGTTGTTTATGGAAAGAATGTTTCTCAGGAGTTTCATTCATGTTTTCTTTCATGAAAAGAACAAAACAAGAAAAGAATCTGCCCTTGTGCTCTATAGAGTCAATAGGAAATTTATCATTACAAACTTAGCCTGGGTACCTGCAGGTTAAAATATACATATATGTATGTGTGCACGTGTGAATGAATGAATGATGAGCTTGCCTCTGTGAAGTGGAATCAGGTTTAATCCAGTCTTAATCCAGCATGTGTGGTTACATTTTCATTAGCAATATGCTTTGTCACAGCACAAACCACCAAACT